GATATCCGTCGCGGATTCGTCATCAGAGACATGAGTAGCAGAAACAGGTTCAGTATATCTGCTGGTTGTCATATTCGACAGAAAAGAGAAACGCTTCTTCACCAAAATGTGCTGACTCTCGTAACCTTTAAGTTTAGAATTAAACGAAAGGAGTCAATGTTTCGTTCCATACCTAAAGCGAAAATTCTATGTTGGAGCACGAATGAGTCAAAATGGCAGTCCAGTTTGAAAAGTTCGCTCATCAAGTTATTTTTTTCGACCGTGTTTTGACGTAGTTAAATTGAAAAATCCCTAAACGAAAATCAAAGTGTTTCCGTTTATGGGATGACGCCGCTCGTTAGGCAAAATTATTTAAATAATCCTGTCCATTTAAAAATTCAAGCGAAGCTTTAAGTAGTGGCTTGGGATTTCCGGAGCCTAAGGTATGATTACATGAAGAAAGCCTGAAAAGGTCTAAAAGAACTGTCATCCAAGTATTTCTTTGTTTTTCCTGATCTACCTTTGTAATATCCACAAATAGTATAGTCCTAAACAGACAATCCTCCAGAGATCGCCATTATATTCAAAGGAACATAACAAAAGAAAAGAAACGCGTTAATGAATGGCGAATTAACCACAACCAAACTCAAAAGGAACGCATAAAACAGTAAAACGCCCAGCAGCACAAAATAGGATGATTAGTCGAGCAGATCTTGGAAGCAGATACAAACATTTATAGCAGGTAGCAAAAGCACCGACCATTCCATCTTGAAATAAAACGATGAGGTTCGCGAAGGGAGTCGTGAGGTATTATAAGCGATGTGATGCTCAAGAAGTAAACTTACGAGGATCACAGGTAGTGTCCCCTAGAACATAGGCAAGGAGGTTACGGAGGGTAAAGGAAGGATTGGTTAAGTATAATTTCAACCCTTAGCTCGGAGGATAAGTGGGCTACTGGTGAGTTGCAAAGTAGCAAATCCTGACCTTATGTAACTAAATCAACAAACTAACATTTAAGAACCACTGGTTTCGACGAGGGCTTATTATATCGCCAACGTGCAGACTGAGTGCCTATATCGGCTCTAAGTGTGTAGTAGTAAATTCTCAAAACTAAAAAATTAACTCTATTCTGCGCTAGACTAACGTGGCCAAATATAAAAGGGTCTTGAGCGGGCTAGAATCCAAGAATTTGCTAATTCGATAGCTAAGGATAAACATATTTGTCAGGAGCTAGACAAAGTTTAATTCAAATTCAGATGAAGGGTGCTGCCCAGATAAAGCCAACATACCAATCATTTGCGTGGCGTAGAGGTCGAACACGAGGATAATGAGGGTGCAGAGGGGATCACGGACACCGTCTTTGATTTTAGCTCCATCCCGAAGAAGTTTCAATCCGATTTCCTAGAAAAAAATAAGGATTTTAATAACAACCTCAGCGCAAAATGTACGCCTCCTGGAAACTGCTTTAATATACCGAGCAAGCACGGTAAGAACCGAAAGTGGGAATTTATTCCTTTATAAATACAGGTAGTCATGCGCAAAAGTCAAGGAAAGAAAAATATCGAGGAGTCCTAAACCTAACACTAACCCCAACTTAACCCTACCTTGGCCTTAAGCATGAACCTAATACCAAACCTAATCCCCATAGATATTTGGGTTCGCATTCAAATGATGCTTGTTAGTTTCTTCTTTTGGCCGATGTTAAATAGCAAATCCCTCTTTGGTAGCATAACATTCTAACCAAGGCCAGTTGTGTAGTCTACGGGAAATCAATTAGACCTATCAGGTACATATTGTTGCAATGAAAACTCATCTATAGTAGTATATTTCTACAACAGTAAGAAAGTTTACATCGTCTATCCTCAAATGTAAGTCCAATTCTTTGACATTTTTGGCTACATTGGCGAGTCACCTGGACTTTTTTCAAGACAGCCTCAAGCAAACATTGGCGTATAGGTCCCCGTGTTTAATTAAAACAATACAGCTTTCTACTCATTTATTCAAATTACTGCGACTGGGATTGAAGTAGCTTACCTATTTCACAAACTTTCGAGCAATCCCCGAGTCCTGTGATGTCCTTAGACAAGCTTGCTTCTGCAGTCTTCGGATTCATTAGAATCTGGATCAAAGTATGCCTTAAATGAGTAAGTCCCTCGGTCTGTCTCCAAATATGAAAATCAACAAGCGGACTCACT